AGCAGGTTCAGCAGAGCAGTCTGCACAGTAAGAGCATTTTCCTCAACACTGCTTTAAAGATCTGGTTAGATATGATCACACTAGACATTTTGGTGCGCAAACCAGAGTCCATTTCATGTTGGAATTTGGCTGGAATGAAAGTGTATTCCAGACTCTGAACTTTGATGTTCACCAGCAAATTCTGCCAAAACTTAAGTATATTTTGCATCTTTTCTGCTTCTGTCACACAGTTTAGTATGTCTTTCTCTGAGTAAATTGCCTTTGGATATGTTTGCATCGTCTAAAGCGACAAACACAAGTGCTGTTGTGTGTTTGTGAAGTATTCATGATCCAAAGTGACAGGAGCATAAATTAAACAGTTTAGCTGGTATCTACTCATCTTATGTGGTTACCTAATTAGAGGTAAACAGCTGCCATTAGTACTTAAGTACTTACTGTGGTACTTGTGTCTTTGTCAGCGTATATATTAGAGGTCGACCGATGTATCGGTTTTGCCGATTAATCGGCACCGATAGTTGATTGCTGGAACTGTCGGTTATCGGCAAAAATCCATGCCGATAGTTTTCCGGGTTGCGTCCATTGCTGGAGCGGCTGAGAAGGGTCTGCTGTTATTACACAGTGCGAGAGTGGCCTCTAGTGGTTGAAATCACTGACAGCACGTGCTATCTGTTTAGACACGTGATCAGGGCTGGACTGGGACAAAAAATCGGCCCTGGCATTTTTTGGTCCAGGCGGCCCATCACCACTTCGATATACACTATACCAGTCAAAAGTTTTTGAACAGTAAGATTTTTAATGTTTTTTTAAAGAATTCTCTTCTGCTCACCAAGCCTGCATTTATTTGATCCAAAATACAGCAAAAGCAGTAATATAGTGAAATATTTTTACTATTTAAAATAACTGTTTCTATTTGAATATATTTCAAAATGTAATTTATTCCTGCGATTTCAAAGCTGAATTTTTAGCATCATTACTCCAGTCACATGATCCTTCAGAAATCATTCTAATATTGTAAT